CATTATTTTTTTTCCCCCCCCCCCCCCCCCCCCCCGGCGCAATTTTGATGTTCTGCGGGCACAGACGCCGCGAAACTCCAAACGACGAAAACGACGCATATGATTCCATATGCGGAACGGAAGCCAACCACAAAGTGTGAGGATACCAACACTTTCGAATGCTGAATGTGGTGAAACGGCCGCGGACAACAACGGTGGACAAGAGCGTTATCGAGCTCTGGCGGGACTTTTGTCTGGCCGCCAGTTTAGCCCCATGAGACCCCACACTGATCTCAAGATTAAGGACCTTAATCCAACCGCGTACGCGGATCAGTGACGAACTTTAGAGACGACGAGCTATTGCCCAGTGTTTTCGTCTCCTCGGCTTCAGACATTTTTTTTTCGCGGTGGACGTGTCATAGATGTGGTAAACGACTGCGCGCGTGCGGTCGCCTTCAACGGAAACCCCCAAAACAGGAACGGTGGTGCCATGGCCTGGTAGAACGGGGATGAATCCAACGGCTCTTTCCTTTCGTTGAGCTTAAATACACAATTTTCGTATTGCGTACGCCTTTTCCCCGCTCTGGCCGGTTGACACTTTCCCTGGGCGATAAACGAAGTGGGGAACGGTTCATTAACTTCATCTGAAGATCTGTGTTCAACGAGCTCTTGTGGCGCAATTGGCTAGCGCGTTCGGCTGTTAGGGAGATGACGCTCCAAAGCAACCGGAAGGTTGGTGGTTCAAGCCCACCCAGGAGCGTCCCGAAAAGATACGGCAATCGTTTTTACCTTCTTTTCCCCTGCTAGCGGCGACGAGACTTGGTAGCACCGGGAGAAGGGCAGTACATTTGTTTTGGGATATTGCATGAGCCGGCCAGCAGGCGAGGATGCCCTATCGTGCGTAGCAAAGGGACATATAGACCGAAAACCAAGAAACAAAGCACCAAACATATACATAATGTTTGAGGTATTCATCGCTGGTATACACGAGCGCGTGCGCAAGGCGCTGCTGCCGGCCCCAAAGTGAAAAAAGCGTAAGAACGGATTTGCAGCTGCGCGAGTACTGGGGTTGTTGGAGCCTGTCACTTGCGCAACGCAGCCCAAACACGACCAAACATAACTGGCAATAACCGGAGTGTAACTGAAATAACAGGAATAACTGAATCACCAGACACCACTGCCATCACTGGCATTCTATTGGTTACCATGCTACCGGGACGTGCCCACCTGAAGGGCAGCAAGCCACCAAGGTGCCGAATGAACCAGAATTTAGGAACCAGCACCCAGGTGGTACCAATGTGGATATATTTGTAACACAGAAACTCCGTTCCAGGCGTCCCATTGCATTCCAAACCACAGTACCGCGGTACCCGCCAGTGGGGTCTGGTGATGCTGCATAACGGACCACCACTGAAGTAACTGCGAAATCACCACTGGTGGTGGCTGGTGATCGAACCAAAGAGTGGTGTTCCCTGTGTCCTATGGGCGTTTTAAACCCACGCGCGCACCGGATTTGATTTACGATAGACACCTCAGACCTACCGAACGTGGCGCAAATGAGATGTATAGTGTGCAGCGGGAAGATAAGCGAAACGCTGTACGAAAAAAAATCGCAGTCAAAACCGAGGTCCTGTTGCGTTCACGACAGACACCCCACACCGCCGTGCTTTTCAAAAAAAGCGAATCGGGAAAGATCTTTATTCGAACGCACCCAAAGAACGAAAGGGGTGGTTCCTTATTTTCCAGTTTTGATTCACTGAACGCATACGAAACATACGGACACAGCATGGCCAGAATTTGGGCCGGAATTTGAGACACAGTGATGGGGATAACCAGTACCGACGAAAGAGTAAAGAACATGGCGAACAAAAAAGTAAGATAAATAATAACGCCCCGCACGGAATCATGTGGTGTTTGGAACCCACATCGGCCACCGCATAGATTCGGCATCGCTGTACATGCATAACAGCATTATGGTAGAGTGTCAGACCGCCGTGTGCGCAGCAGGGGAGTTGCAGCAGGAAAAAAAAAGGAAGACGGTAGGTCGGATCGAACGCACCCGAACGAATGGCGGCGTACCCTTTCATGTTCAGTTCACTGCACGCATACAAACCACACCCTCTGAAGTTTTGGATGGGGACGCTAGCAGTGGCGGTACGCGCAGTTCGACGAAAAAATGGAGAGGTGTCAGGCACTGAGCCGTAGGGAGTTTGGAACCCACAATGGCCCACCGGGTTTGAGCCACCGAGGGAATGCGTCAATGGAGTAGTGTGAAAGAACCGGTAGCGGGCTTCTCGGTAAAGTACCATAACTCCGCTATGCGGCAGCAATGAAGAAAGAAAAGAACAAGCGGATAGTCTATTTCCGAACGAAAGGGGGACACACCGTCCTAAACGTCGCGCCGCTCGTCGTGGACTTCACGCAAGTAGACGAGAGTGGGAAGCAACCAACGCACATTACACAAGAGAGAAAAAAACCGTCAAACTGGTGGTGATTGAAATTCGAACGCACGCGTACGAAACGAAGCGTTAAGCGGACTGCGGCTTTAGCATATGATTTGCGTGTACTACCCAATACAACGCAGGATCGGTCATAAAAATGCGATGTAGAGTTCGCAGCGGCAAGATAAACCAACCTGGGAACAGGAATAAAAGAGTAAGATGGGCATATTTTATATAATTGCGTCTTATGGGCGTTTGGAATCCAGACGCGCCTACCATAGATAGACCCCCATATTGCAGCACGTGTATTGAAGCGTGGTAGTAGTGTAGTATTATGGCAAACATCGGTGTGCGCAGCCGTGAAGACGCTAGCACCAATGAAAAAAAGAAGGCAGATTATACTCTATTCAGACGCCAACGCATTGAAGGGTGACGGATCATAATAGAGTGGCAAACCCCAGTGTCCGCAGCAGTAAAGTTCCAAAGCAACAATGAACAGGAAGCTGACAATAGTCTATCTGAATGTCAACGCATCGAAGCGTGACGGATGATAGTAGGGTGTCAAACACCTGTGTGCGCGCAGCCGTGAAGACGCAGCATGAATGAAAAAAGGAAAACCGATGATTGTATATTCAAACGCCGTTTCGTCCGATGAGTGAAGGGGGGCGCACTGTGTGTTTTCATACACAGGACTTGATAACGACAAAGGCGTACAAAAGTTGCTCTCATGTTCGGGGTAGAAAAGCGTCTTATGTTACGTATGACAGGTATCGACACTACCGCAGCAACGTGTTAAGTCAGTCCGGGACGTAATGCAAGTGTACAAGGTGCGCAGGCACAATAACAAAGAGAAGAAAAAGTAGAAAATATTGAACGTGAATTCGAACGCATACTCTGGGAAGGAAAGGAGGCGGTCGCGACCTTCATTGAATGGACTGCGGTCTTGATATGCGAAAACTTTGTGTGGGTTCACCGGACGACATAAGATCTGTAATCAAGCGAGACATATAGTGCATGCAGCGCGAGGTAAACGAACCCGGTAAACGAAAAAACAAAAAATAGCGTACTCCGAACTAGTGTCCTGTGAGTATTCGAAACCCACACGGGCCCACCGGTTTGTGTTTAAGCTACACACCCCACGTGGCTATGCGCTTGTGGTGGATCTACGCCATATACTTAATAAAATGCGACGACGTAGAATACGCAGCGGCAAGGTAGATAAACAAATCTGGGTACAAAAAAAGTAAAACGGAGGTGTCTCGTCACAGAAGGCTACATATGGGCGTTTGGAACCCACACGCGGCTACCGTACAATCGAACCACCCATCGCTCTATGTGCATTGAATGGTGACAGCAGTATAGTAGAGCTTCAGAAGTTCAAGCACCGATGAAAAAAGAGGAATCATCTTCTGCAATCGAACGAACGCACCTTCACCCTTGAATGCATACAAAACGCGCGGCTCTGACGTTTGGGTAGATCCCACAAAACCGCGTTACATGTACAGGAGAAGTAACAGTACCGCACCCACCGAAAATAGAAAAAAAAAACAACACCGACAAACCATTCGAACCGCTCCCGATGAACAAAACGGGGGGCGCATTGTCTGTTTTTCGTATCAAATCACCGCGCATAGAAAGAGACTGACAAGGGTGTCCCATGCCGCTACCGAACTCTGGATCTGTAAAGTGCGGGAACGTAGAACTTGGCGAACAAAAAAAGGATAATAGAAGCCTACCGTCAAGGACGGAGTCCTACGGGTGTTTAGAACCCACAATGGTCCACCGGGTTGTGTTTACGACACCCCACGGCGTTGTACGTGTGCGTGCATTGAAGCGTGACAACTCATAGTAGACTCTCAAAACCGCAGTCTGCGCAGCAGTGAAGATGGCGTCACCAATGGAAAAAAAACGAAGCATACAAGTGTATACAATGCACCCGAACGCCCCCTGACCGAAAGGGCCGCCTTGTGTATATTTGCATATTCAGGATTCTGCACACAAAAGACACGACCAGACTCTGGGCTTGTTTGGCTAGAGACGCAAACGCAAACAGCGTTGTATGTTTGAAGTGGGTTAACAGCGCCGTGAGACTGGTCTGTAATGAATTGCGACACTGAGCGCCCAGTTGCAAGATAAACGAACCCGTGAACCAAAAAAAGTAAACTAGATGCGTGCGAGGACCAGAGGCCTATGGGCGCTTGGAACCCACACCGTCCCACCGTATAGATCCTACATCGCTTTATTTCGCATTAAAAAGTGAGAGCAGCAATATAGTAAGACAAACCCCGGTGCGCGCAGCAGCGAAGTGGCAACAATCAAAAAAAAACGGAGTTAGATTCTCTGTTTGGCCTAATCGAAAAGACCCAAGAACCGCTCGCGTTTGTCACGGTCAATGACTGAATGGATACGAGGCGTTATGGTCGACTCTCCAACCCCGGTTGTGCGCAGCAGCAATGAAGTTGCATCACTAATGAAAAAAAAAGAAGAATCAAGGACCGTGTTTATTCGAAGGAACCCAGGAACTGGGGGCTTCACGCTTTTCACGTTTATTTCAATGACCGCATACGAGCATTATGGTACGGTATTCAAACTCCGCTGTGCGCAGGCAGCGGAGTTGTGGCATCAATGCAAAAAAAACGACTCGGAAACGGGCTTTATTCGAACGCACCCAAGACCGCGAGGGAACGTTCCCTATTCTCACCTTGTACTCCACTGACCCCATACGAGCATTATCGTAGAGCCCCCAACCCCCATTCTGCGCAGCATCGAAGACGACCACGCACGACCGGTTGTTTAAAGTAGAGCCCGCAAACAGCGGTGTACCGTAGAATATGACGAAAAGCAAAAAAAAACAAACATAAATGACATGGCGTGGATGTAATCGAAACGCACCCTAATGAGCGAATGGGAGCCGCACTGTTTATGCTTCTATACTCAATTCACTGTGCATACAGGACAGATCCTATATTTTGAATGGTAACATCATTACAGTAGGATGTCCCACGCCGGTGTGCCCAGTGGCCGCAGCACCAAAGAAAAAAAGCAAGCACGTAGCAGTCTACACAATCGAACGCACCCAAGAACGAGTGGGGGCACCTTTCCTAATTTCGTGTTTCACTCGAAAAGGCGTACGAAATACACGAAGCGAAGCGCTTGGATAGAGAGGCAGACAGCGTTGTCCTGAAAGTGTGCCGCAAAAGTACTACAGCCATGGAGAAAAAAACATAAAGACTCGGACGGAACATATTCGACCGTGCACCGTGCACCCGAATGATGAATGGGAGCGCACTGTCGAATTATATATATATTGATACTCAAT